TCACTAAGGTTATGACCGGCCGCTTGGGTAAATGTCGCGACCAGAGGCCAAGCATAGTGGAACGGACACATAAGGCATAGAAAAGAGTATTCCAAAAGGAATAAAGTAAGGAACGGGTGAAGAAGTATCATTTCGGCTAAGGAAACGGACCCAAACTGTGAATTAGGTACCGCGGGTGATCATGAGGCTAGTGATCCGTATCGCGGAAAGTGCCACATGTAGTGCTACAGAGCAAAGGAACACTTACCGCAGGACTAAAGACCCGAAGTACCGGACGGGAACATTGCCCTTAATCGAACCAAGCTAGGATGCGGTCTAGTCAGTTTGTGGCCGAGAGTGAGCCACGTCAACTCCGCGGGTAGTTGGTAAAATCCGTGGACGGGAAGGAACCACGCCGAGCTCGAGTCACATTGACACCCGTCGTCTCCCTTGCATTTGGAGGCGATGACATGCGTCCCAGCCAGTGACAAATGTCAGTGGTGAGGGCAGCAGGTGTCAGCAACGGAACGATCACTGTGACACGTCGTTACCCGTTCCTCCCCTATAAAAGGAGCCGTCCATGAGCAATTTTTCTCACCCAACTTTCGATCCGAACCTACCCTTGCTCGATATCAGTATAAATAAGTGACCTAGACACCCGAGAGTTCTAAGTCCGAGTAAACCTAGATCAAGAAAGATCTTGTCGTAATAACCTAAGCTTCCGAGCCACCTCTTACGCAGTGGTGAGTAGGGTCTCGGTGATTGATGAGTAGAATCACCGTGGGTTGCTTGTTGCATGTTGCATGTCATTATAATGCTAGATCTTCACTGCTTGTTCGGTTGTTTGCATGCATGATCGGTTGAGTTTGATTGAATATGATAATTTAGTCATGCTTGTTTTAGATTATGTCATGTTGATTGATTGCTTGTGCATGTATGGTTAGCCTTGTTCTTGAATTATTGTTACTAGTCATAGCAAATGGGTTTTTGCTTGCTAGTAGTTTCGTGGAATGATGTTGATTCAGGTAAGTTAGGCTATCGGTTGTGCGTCAAGTAGAGTGATCATGTTGCATGTAGCCTAGTGTTGCTAAGTTGTGTGCGCATCATGCAAGTGAGGCATGGTGTAATGGTCCCGCGTTGTCCGATGAAGTCGTAGCATTACGTAGTACGGCATAATGTTGCGCCATGGCGAGATGTGGGTAGCGCCCATAGGCCATGATACATGACGGTGTATTGAGTTCATGTGGGTATTCCGTAGAACTCAGAATGTTGGAAGACTTCGTGTCTTACATTCCAGTACCGGAGACGTGAGTGGAGGGATCGGCATAGGGCCCATAAGATGGTTTCATATAGGCATGACGGTTCAATTGGTTAACTTAGAACTTGCATCATGTTGCATTGTTTCCCTGTTTACTTCATAATCTGCTTACTTGCTGCTGTTGTTTGTTTGGTTACTTTGGGATTGGTTGGGTTATTTTCAGGCTCTGCTCACTGAGTAATTTTCAAATTGCTCATCCCATAACATTTTGTCCTGCAGGTAACCTTAGGGGAAAAGCTTGTAGCGGGCCACATTGGACTTAGGGAAGCCAGGGTAGGTTTTTCTCTTGATCTTGCAAACTCCTTAGTATGTATTATGTACGATTTTGAACCTCGGATCCGACCTATATAGTTTGCCAAGATTTTTCCGTATATAATATATGCTAAGTATGAACGAATGTTTTCCAAACATTCGCAAGTGACACTGCTGCGCTGATCTTGTCCGGATAAAACCAACCGTGCTAGTCGGTTCCGGATTGCAAAGCCCTGGTTCTGATCAGTACGGGTAAACTGATATGCAGACAGTTGGTCCCGAGTACCTTGATCCGTTTCTGGAACTTAGGATCGGCCATCCTCGGGTCAGTACGTAGCGTTCTTGGTCAAAGGGCATTACCCGATGATCGGGGGCGTTACAAAAAG